ATGCCATGCTCTTGCCTCAAAATATTGTACTTTCAGCGCTCGACAGTAATACGCAAGTGAAAACGGTGGAATGGCATGATCTTCATCTGCCTGTTTATGCCATCAACCGTCCCGACCAAATGGAAGGGGTGGCCCTGGTGATTGAAGGGGATGATGCTTCTCAGCGCTTTGCTTTGATGTGTAATGAAATGCCGAAGTCAATTCGTTTGCGTATTTCTGAAATTGTTGATGATGAAAGTCCTGTGAATGATCCCACCATTTTCCAGCTAGTGCGTATGGGGGATGAGACTTACCACGTACCGAATTTAAATAAAATTCAAGCGAGTTTAGGACTTTCTACTTAAGTTTGAATGCAATAAAAAAGGAACTCAATTGAGTTCCTTTTTTATATGGGTTTGTATGCTTATGCCAAAAGGCCTTCTAAAATTTGTTCGTAAATTTCAGCAAGCGGTTCCAGATCAGCAACATTCACATGTTCATCAATTTGATGGATGCTGGCATTGAGAACACCAAGTTCAAGTACTTGAGCACCTGTAGGAGCAATAAAGCGACCATCAGATGTTCCGCCTGAGGTTGAAAGCTCAGTTTCTACACCAGTCACATTACGAATGGCATTTTTAGCCGCATTCACCAACTCACCCACTGGCGTCAGGAACGGTAAGCCTGAATGTGTCCATTTAATGTCGTAGACTAAACCATGACGATCCAAAATTTCTAAAACACGTGCTTTTAATTCTTCAGCGGTCAATTCAGTTGAATAACGGAAATTGAACGTCACGGTCATGGTACCTGGAACGACATTGGTTGCCCCTGTGCCAGCTTGAATATTGGACACTTGGAACGAGGTTGCAGGGAAGTATTCGTTACCTTGATCCCAAACCGTATCACAAAGTTCAGCAACGGCTTTAGACGCCATGTGAATCGGGTTAATGGCCAAATGTGGATAAGCCACGTGACCTTGTTTTCCTTTCACTGTCAGTACTGCATTGAGTGAACCACGACGACCATTTTTAACAATATCACCCAGTTGATGTGTACTTGAAGGTTCACCCACCAAACACCACTTCATTTTTTCATTACGGGCTTCGAGTGTTTCGATCACTTTGACTGTGCCATTGATCGATGGACCTTCTTCATCTGAGGTGATGAGGAACGCGATTGAGCCTTTATGATTTGGGTGTTTTGCAACAAAGCGCTCAGAAGCAACCACCATTGCGGCCAAGGCAGTTTTCATGTCTGCACTGCCACGACCATAAAGCTTGCCATCACGAATTTCAGGGGCAAATGGGTCTGAGTTCCAAGCATCTAAATTACCTGTAGGAACGACATCGGTATGACCCGCAAAGCAGAATACAGGTGCTTCAGTACCTTTTCGTGCCCATAGATTATCAACATCATCAAAGCGCATAGATTCAATGTTGAAACCAATTTTTTCTAAGCGTTCAGCCATAATATTTTGACAGTTGTGGTCCACAGGTGTAACCGATGGCTGACGTAAAAGTTGGAGGCTTAAATCGAGAGTAGCAGAAGAGGTCATGCGCATTTCAAAGTCAATAAAACAGTCGGCACTATAATAGGCGATTAATCTCTGGAATGCGAAACTTAGCAATAAAAAAACCTTATCATTTAGATAAGGTTTTGACACAAATATTGACTACTTGCGGATTTCATCTTGGGTTTTTTCAGCGGTATTTGATACAGCATTACCTGCTGAAGAGACATCTTCACCAATACCTTTGACGGTATTACAGCCAGCTAAAACAAAAAGCATAACTAATGAACTAGCAATAATTTTCTTCATTTCATTCTCCAAAATTTTGGTATTGTCATCA